AGAAAGAAAGAAGAAAGAGAGAGAGAAAACAATATTAGTTGAACTACTTGAGAAACACGTCACGTGATCAAGGAAGCAATTTGGAGTCAAAGAGAGTACACGATGGATCATAACACTCCCCCCCCCCTATTTTTACGACAGAGCTGCTGAGATATTGCAACTGCGAGACGCCTGGAGGGACTATACTAAACAGGATTTAAAACAAAAACAAAACAAAAATCAGAGAGTACTAACCGGATTTAAAGAGAAAAAGAAGAAAAAAATCAGAGTACTAAACCGGATTTTTTTAAAAATCAGAGTACTAAACCGGATTTAAAAAGAAAAAAAAGAAAAAGAAATCAGAGGGTACTAAACCGAGAGAAAAAATCTGAGTACTAAAAGGAAATCAGAGAGTACTAAACCGGATTTAAAAATAAAAAAAAAAAAAAAATCAGAGAGTACTAAACCGGATTTTTTTATCAGAGAGTACTAAACCGGATTTTAAAAAAAAAGAAAACAAATTAAAACCAAATCAAGAGAGATAAAGTGAAATGCCTTGAAGGATGTTCTACAATCTGATGAAAGAGACGCACAGTTGCATTGTTGAAAATATCTTCGTGGCAAAAACGATCAAAATCTTGGTCAAAGGGAATTTGTATTTGGCATTGTATTTTTTATTTCCTTCCTAATTCTTCCCTATTCTCCTCTCCTATCCACTTATCCATCCTCTCTTAATCCCTATTCCCTCGGTTTCCTATTTTTCTCTTATTTCCATTTATCCATCTTCTAATCCCTATTCCCTCGATTTCCTATTTTCCTTTTATCTCTATTTACCCATCCTATTCCCTCGGTTTCCTATCTTGCTCTTATTCCCATTTATCCATATTCTCCTAATCCTTTTCCTTCGCTTTCACATGTGTGTGTATATATATATATTATATAATATATATATATATTATATATATATATATATATATATATATATATTATTATAGAGAGAGAGAGAGAGAGAGAGAGAGAGAGAGAGAGAGAGAGAGAGAGAGAGAGAGAGAGAGAGAGAGAGAGACAGAGACAGACACAGACACAGACACAGACACAGACACAGACACAGACACAGACACAGACACAGACACAGACACAGACACAGACACAGACACAGACACAGACACAGACACAGACACAGACACAGACCACAGTAAAAAATCACACAATTACTAACTCACTGACCACTACCCTTAAACACGAGCAGAAACTTACGTATGCAGCCGATGCAATATTTAAGAAAATTACTTGCTTAGCGTCTCCTCCAGAATATATACAATGTTGCCTTTCTAGCGATTTTCCCGCTAGTTTTTAAGTTAAAATCTAGCGGAAAAGAGTAGAAGTTTACTCT